TGTAACGAACTAAATGAGGAAATTTTAACCCTGCCCGACACTAGGACTATAAACCCGGTGCTTTGGTCAGAAAATTTCAACCCTAGCTCTTGTAGTTCGTAAATTTTCTGCAAAAATACCCACCCACACAAGAAAAAAAAATCCATACAAAAGCATGATTTTATCACAATGCACGGTTGTGTTTGATGCAGAAGCACAGGAAAAAAACAAACAAACCATGCAATGCTTCGGAATCAAGTACAGAGACGATATGTTCATAGAAGACCTGCTGAAATGAGACTGGCAAAGCAGTTAAAATCAAAGCAACCGCATTGATTGTAGCATGCCTGAAAACACTGATATATTACTGTTTGTGTATAAAAGGCCAAGGATATTAACACAACATCTACTGTAAAACGAACCACCCCCCTCCCAGCAGTGGTTGATCAAACTCCTACACACACACACATGCACACACACATGCACACACATACATGCAGACACACACATACATACACATAAACACACGCATACACACATACAGACAAACACACACACAATGATCATATGTGGATCGCCTCAGTGACACTTGTTTGTCTCGTGGACGACTTTTTCGCGTTTTTCTGGCAATTTTCCAGGAATTATTCAGAACCAGCAAAGCCGACCAATTTCTCTTGTGCTCAAGATGATATCTTATACATCATTCGTTAGCAGTGCATCTTTTTTCCAACGCGATCACAGGCAAAAAAACCAAAAGTCCTTCGCTCCACCACTCTCTCCGTCACTTTTTCGATTGTGCGACATTCAAAGCAAAAGGCTAAAAAAAGAAAGACACCTAGTAGAAAGCGTACCGGCTGCCGGTACGAGGATGCGTTTTTTGCGCAGTTCCCCCCGCAGGTTTTTTTTGCCAGCGGCACGTTCTTCCTGGCAGATGCTTCTAGCCAAAAGAATTGGGACTGGCCACCACAACTGTCAGAAATTATTACAATGACCCCCAATCCATGCCCAGAAGATCCAGTGCTCCAGATGCTTCGGTTGCACAGTTATGTCAAATTTTAC